AAAATATTTTAAGACAAGGTGTTCAAATATTTTCCAAATCATTTCTAAAAAATATGTATGGTATCGGATTGATCTAATTTCTGTGCACTGAGGACAAGCAAGTCCTAGGTTACCAACTGAACTCTCCAATGCAAGAACAAGATGCATTTCTTCCTTTAGGAGGTGCTATAGTCACGAGAAAAGAAAAAGGGTTCAGTTTTGTTTTTGCATGTGGGTGGGTATTCTGTTTGTAATAACTGTTTGGATACACTATATTTTTAATAGGCTAGTTGTGATAATTTCATGCCAAGTAAAAACGTCCATAGTCATATTTTATGTTCCTAAAGTAACAGAAGGACTTTCAGTCTGGAAAAGAAAAAAGAAGTGCTAATGTAGCGTTTTTTTCCATTTTCCCGAAAATTTCCGTTTCCCCTCGGAAAAAACCGGGGGGAAAAATGGGTTTTTTCCCGCGCTTCAAAATTTCCAGAAATTTTACATCTCTATCCGTACCGAAGCTGAGGTTGATAATGGTATCTCCGCCGTTGGCGTCCAGCTCCTCCAGGCTCCCGTCGGAGTCCAGTCCTTCGAGGGACGGCGGGGGCAGGCGGCGGTGTTCCCCTTGCCGGTCAGTCTGCTCCAGGGAAAGCACCAAGCCCACCTCCTCCACCTGGCTGTAGAAGGCCAACACGGCTGTTAGGGGGCTACTGTCCCGGCTGCGCAACACCACCCTGATTGGGTAGGGTCTGGCTCAGGATGGGAGGGGTTTAGCTCAGGTGGCCGTAGAGGCAAAGAAAACGGGTTCCTGCCGAAAGTGGACCGAGGAGCAAACAGCTGTTTGAGCTGCCAGTGGTCTGCCGCGGAAGACTGAGATCCAAATCCAGGAGGACCTTAGAGTCCAATGGAGTTTTTGGGGTAGGGGGCCTTCGGAAGTCAAAGCTCCCTTCATCAGATATGAAAGGAGATTTGACTCTCAAATGCTTCCGCTCTGGGAAATCTTGCTGGTCTCTAATGTGCTCCCGGACTTGAACCTGGCTCTCTAACCAGCAGTAGGAGATTTGACTCTCTAATGCTTCTGCTCTGGGAAATCTTGCCGGTCTCTAATGTGCTCCCGGACTTGAACCTGGCTCTTTAACCAGCAGTGGGTCGCCGAGGCCTCTGTCAAAGAAAGAAAGCAAAACGCTTGCTTGGGTCCCCCACCCCACCCCCACCACATCAGTTTGGTGTAGTGGTCTGGAGCATGGACTCTAGTCTGGGGAAACCAGGTTTGATTCCCCATTCCGCCACATGCAGCTGCTGGTGTTACATTGGGTCAGTCGCAAGTTCTCTCGGAGCTGTTCTCTCAAGAGCAGTCCTTGAGAGAGAGATCTCTCAGCCCCACCTACCTCACAGGGTGTCTGTTGTGGGGAGAGGAAGGGAAAAGAGATTGTAAGCCTTCCTTCAAGTGAAGGGTGGGGTATCAATCCAGTCTCTTCTTCTTCTTCCGTTCAACTCCCACATCCACTGTGACAACAGTCCCCCAAACCAGGACTGGCTTTTCACTGCCCTCCATGATCTATCTATTGCCTTTCTGATTACATCCTTTCTCCAAGGAGAAGAAGAAGAGACTGGATTTATACCCCACCCTTCACTACCTGAAGGAGTCTCAGAGAGGCTTACAGTCTCCTTTCCCCCTCCCCTTCCCACAACAGATGCCCTGTGAGGTAAGTGGGGCTGAGAGAGCTCTTTCGAGGACTGCTCTTGAGAGAACAGCTCCGAGAGAACTTGTGACGGACCCAAGGTCACACCAGCAGCTGCACGTGGAGGAGTGGGGAATCAAACCTGGTTTTCCCAGACTGAGAGAGCTCTTTCGAGGACTGCTCTTGAGAGAACAGCTCCGAGAGAACTTGTGACTGACCCAAGGTCACACCAGCAGCTGCACGTGGAGGAGTGGGGAATCAAACCCAGTTCTCCCAGATTAGAGTTGACGCTGCTAACCACTACACCAAACTGGCTCTCAAAGTTCACAAAGGTGTATGGTTCCCCATTCACCCTACTAATCTTCACAGTAAACCTATGAAGAAGGTTGGGGGGGCGCATGTGTGTGGCCCAAGGTCACCCAGCAAGTTTCATGCCAGAGAGGGATTTGCATCTGACCTGCCACTGCTGGAAATGGGGTGCGGGATTCAATGGTCTGATCCAGCACAGGCCCGTAGCTACAGTGGGGCTTTTAGTGGCTCCGCCCCCTTTCGTAAAGGCACAGCTCCACAAGAATTTCTCCTGTAAATGCTTTTTTCAGTAATTTAAAAACATTTTTAAAGGCATATGCTCTTTTAAACAAAATGGGGTGCTGCAGATAACTAATTCCCGCACTGAGCAAGGGGGTTGGAGTGGGTGACCTCTAGGATCCTGTCTAGCTCTGTGTCAAGAAACTGGTCTCCTTTAAGGGAGTTTTTCTGCCTAAGTGTTAGCTTTCTTGACTACAGACCCGCCGGCTTGTTCTCAGAATTGTTGCTTAGACTGGTGGAAGTGATGAACCTGCAGGAGCTGAGAACTGTCATCTAAAGTGGTCGACAACTTGCAATTGAGAGATCTGTCCTGGTCGTAGTTTTCTATTGGCTAAATGGCTCTTCTTTCTGCACTGAGAACTTCAGCCCCACCAGGAAGAAATTTGCCCCACAAGCCACAACATTCTGGCTATGGGCCTGGTCCAGCATTGGGTACTCTTATGTTCTCATGGGCCTAGCTTACCAATTGTCCAGCGGAAAACCCTTTCCTTTGAATAAGGGCAGCCAATAACAAGGCTGCCTTACAATGTCCCCACCCGCATTCTGAAAAGCTCGGCAGGCAGCAAGGAAAGTATTGGTAGACAACATGGCGCCCACGGGCACTGTGTTGGGGAATCCTGCCCTAGACGCCGCTCTTTCCACCATGGTCAAAAGGTACCGCACCGTGCCCTCCCAAAATCTGACCTCAGGATGAAGTGGACACAGACGATGCTCTCAGGCTGGGAGTTCTTGCTGCTGGAGATGACGGTGGCTTGCGTCTGAGTCCACAGGTAGCCTCCGTTCCTGGCCAGAAAGCGGTACTGCCCGGTCACGGCCTGCCCTTTGCTTAGCACTACCGGGAGAAAGTGAAAGACAGACAGTCTGGGACGGACAGATGGACGGATAAGCTGGAAGACGGGGGGAGGAGACGGCAAGGCGCAACAGGCCGTGCTCCCTCGCGGTCCAGAAATTACGTGCTGCCGAAATTTAAAGTTCCCCGTTAACTGACCTACAACCCCACACACACACACAATGCCGTTTCCCACCCTCTCGATCATGCTCCTCCCCCTCTGGACCCTTCCTAATAAGTCAGGCATAACTGCACGGGATTGGTTTGTCATTCTGGTTTTGCAGGGAACCCTGGGAGTTGTAGTCCTGGGCAAGAGGGCACCAGGCGGCTCTCACAGAAGAGTCTCCGCAACTCAGGACTGCAATTCCCAGAATCCTTCAGAGGGATCTGTGAGATTTTTTTAAATGGGCATCAAACCGGCTCAAGGCTGTGGCACAATCCCAGGGTCATGTGATGCAATGGCAGGCAGGGCCAAAGACCGCCTCTGAGCACCCCTCGCCTTGAAATCCCTACGGGGTTCGCCATAAATCGGCTGCGACTTTGGCGTCACTTTCTCTCCACCACCACCGTATTCCGCATCGTGATCCACGTGGCTAGCACAGATTGAAGCATGGACGTATTAATCCCCCCTCACTCAACTCTAGTTTCTGCTGGCTGCAGTGAGACTTTCTGTTGGAAAGTAGTAGCGGGGAGCAGGGGTCATTCCCTGCAGGAGCGCACAGGAGCGGAGCTCCGGCAGTAAAGAGCCCAGGGGGCGGGCACATGCAACAAGCCACACCCCCTGCTCCCAGCAGCCCCCAGTCAGAGCAAGAAGCAGCCAGGTACGCTGCAGAGTCCACCCCCCCGGTCCAAAACAGTCCAGTGGCACCTTTAAGACCAAGTTTTATTCAGGTACAAGCTCTCCCTCCTCTGTGAGAAGAGAAGAAGAAGAGATTGGATTTATACCCCGCCCTTCACTTGGAGTCTCAGAGCGGCTTACAAACTCCTTTTCCCTTCCCCTCCCCACAACAGACACCCTGTGAGGTGGGTGGGGCTGAGAGAACTCTGACACAAACTGCTCTTTTTCAAGGACAGCTGTGCCAGAGCTTGTGGCTGACCCAAGGTCACATCAGCAGGTGTAAGTGGAGGAGTGGGGAATCAAACCCAGTTCTCCCAGATTAGAGTCCGCACACTTAACCACGAC